CCCTTTACCCATTTCAAGAAGAACTGAGGCCCAGGAAGGAGTATAACCCAGCTGAGGTCTCAGAGGGAGCAGAGGGCCTGGCCAGGTTTCCATGAGGCAGTAGAGCTCACCAGTCAGGGATAAGGGACCGGGGAAGGAGTGGGCAGAGCAGGGTCAACTTTAGCTCTGAGCTGATCTCCCTGGAGCCCTCTAAGTCCTCAATGGCATAATTGGAGAGTCTAGCTTGGGCTCCCCACCTGTAACCTGAGTGTTCATCCTGCCCTGACCTTTGTGGCCCTGAGTGCCCCTCTGCTCTCGGTGCCTCCCAGTGCTCCCTTTCGCTGGGGGGCTGTTGAACACCACCACCACTCCAGCCTGAAGAGAGGCCTCTCATTTGCATGCTATTTTGCAATAACTGTTACATGCAGCCTAACTGCCAGTATGTCAGGTGCTGTCCCCAGTCGCCTTATCCTCTCACGCTCTTCCTAGGCCCTCCCTGGGAAAGCTCTGGTGGGTTCAGAGTTCCTCTGGGTGTGCCCTCACCCATCCACCAGGCCTTCTTGGCTACTCTGCCCTTTTTGTATTTGTCATGTGCTTCCTCCTGCTCTTCCTGTCCCCTCAGCCAAAACTCAGCCTCCTCTGGGATGACCTCCTTGATAGGTCACTACATTGGGGCCCATCTCCTCCATCCATTCAGCTAATACCCAAGGAGCACCAACTAAATGTGAGGTGATGGGAAGCAGCAGAGCTAGCACAATGAAGGGTAAAAAGGGACACACCTGAGCTGTGATCCAGCTTGGTCTGGGGTTGCAGGGGAAGGTCTCCTCCAACGGGAAGGAGCAGGCTCCAAGCACAGAAAATAGCCTGTGCTGTCCCAGGGCAAAGACCCACCTGAGGCTTCCTGCCCCCAGGACTAACCTGAAGGAACTCATCTGGCAACCTTGGTAGGACCCTGCCTTGGTTTCCCCACTAGGGCCCTGAGGAGCTCCAACTGAGAGATGTCCAGGGGCATATAGCCCTTCTCTCCCCCCTCTCTTAGTAGCCACCCACGACCCCTCCCTTGCCATGTGGCTCCCAGTTGAGCAGGGCCTACAGGGTTGCAAGGGGTGGGTGAGTCTAAACCTGGGGTCTTTAAGAGGAGAGGAAGGACAGGAAGGGGGGATAATCCCCCCCCCCAGACCCACAACTGGGGAAACAGGTTTGCCAGCTGATGTCAGCTGTCACTCCTGAAGAGAGGGGTGCAGGTGTTGCTGGCTGGCTGGCTGGCAAACTCATGGGTCTCTTAACAAACTCTACCAGGTGCACCCTTTACCTTGTACACTCCCTCCCCCAAGCACATATACAATAGCTCCCTAGCTGGGCTCAAGTTGCACTGCTACCTCTGTCTGGGAGCCCAGCACAGAGGGGTGGGGACAGTGAGAAAGGAGCAGGCGCAGGCGGCAGGAAGGCAGTACTGAGAGGCTGGCTAATGCTTCCTCTCCTCAGGCAGCCAGGCCCCTCCTGTTTCTGGGTTTGCTCTCACATCCTGGATTTGTTTGCCTGGCCCCAGGCTGCCCCCTGCCTACCCAAGTTTCCCAGGCTACAACCAGTCAGCCTGTGCCCCATACTTCCCTTTGAGGTGAGGAGCTGGGGGGAGGGAGGACTCAGCACACATATGGGTGCTAAACACCTCCCGAGGGGATGGGGGGTGACCATATGCAAAACTAAGACAGAAGGGACATTGGGAGACAACCAAGCTGGAGACACAATCCTAGCAGCCTGCCACCCAGCCTGAAGACCCATTGTTAACATCTCTCAGACTCATTACCTGGTTGAAGCCCCCTTCACCTGCTCACAGGTGAAGAAACTGAGGACCAAGAACCTGCCCATGGCCACACGGCAATCAAAGGTAGGAGGGCCAGTCCCTTGGAGAAAGAGACAGAGAAGCTGGGGTGAGGAGACCTAATGAAGGCAGGTAGGCCAGGGCCTTCTCGGGCCTGGACCCCTCTTCAAAGTCCAGGCAACTCCTGAGGTCAGGGATATGTAATTTTTAGACAGGGAAGCAGAGGTTCAGAAGTGCAAAGAGCTTGGTCTGTGTCACCCCAAAGAGCTACTCTACTTGGGGCACTTTCTCCTGCCAGGGGCCTGGACCTCTCTCAGCCTGAGCAGACTAAAGAGGCTGTGGCTCTTATGGCCTGGACTCCAGGTCCCAGGGACACCTCTTCACAGAGGCCCACCTGGTTTGAGCATGAACTTCTCCCCAGTGACAAGCTGTTCAGGGGCACACAATGGTCCATTGTGTCCAGGGCACACCTGAGGCAGGAGCATGATGCCAGGCAGGTGCAGGGAGGTAGGTGCTGGGTGAAGGGAGGGAGGTGTTATCCTTGGATCCCTCCCCACTGTGGGTGCAGAAGGAAAGTGGGTGCCTATGTGTGTGAGACAGAGTTTGGGGGACACTAGGGTCAGAGTCAGTTCTCTCACCTCCTGAGGCCACATGAGGTTGTCTCTGAGACAGGAGTAGGGAACTCAGAAGGAAAGGGCCTCTCTTCATCTCTTTCAGACATCCCTCCTGGCCTCAACCCCCCCATCTCCACTCTCGGCATCTAAAACAAAACTTCCTGCTCTTAGAGGGGTCCCGGGTCCACCCTCTAGAATGGGAGCGGGGTAGGGACACCTCAAGTCCGGGAGGAGCTTATCACAGCCCATTCACTGGGAGGATCTGAGGTGACTTAAGTTGGACCCACTGCCTGCCTGGACACCCAGCTCACTCAGACCCGTTGGCCACGACCATCCAACCAAGCTGCGTCCACAGGAGGGGCAGCCCATATGCAAACTGAGTCCCCTTTCCCCTTCCGACCTGTCCAGTCTCTTGTTCTCTACAGGCCTCAGTTTTCCCATCTGTAAAAGGGGGAAGTGTCCGGCCGCCTCGGCCTTTTCCCCTCTCCTCCTGCAGGACTCAAACTGAGTGGTCCCGCTGGAGGGGATGCTGTGAAGTGCAGTGTCCCACGACCGCTGTCTGTCCCCAAGGTATAATTGCCAGCGGCACCCGGCGGGCCAGGGGCACACACGTGTGCCCGGAGCACGCCTGCCGCGAGCGCACATATACGCGGCCCGGACGGCGCAGTGTGCAGGTGCAGCAGGCGCGGAGCGCGCGGAGCTGGGGGCTCAGCGGGCGAGGGGCGGGGCGGGCTCACCTGAGCGTAGTAGAGCAGCCACAACTCGTAGAGCCGCTCCGAGGCGGCCATGGCCCGGCCCGGCTCTGGCCCTGCTGCGCGCCACCTGTCGTCGCCTCCTCCGCGCCGCCCGCCGGTTGCCCCCGGCCAGGCCCATGGGCGGAGGGCGTCACTCCGGGGCGGAGCGGCGCGGTACTACCCGCGACGGA